CCATTTTTCAAGCGAAAGTTTGATGATCATCTAAATTTTTTTTTTGTATCATCGACACTTATAAATTTACAGGTGATTATATATTATGTTATATTATATTTCTGGAAAATTTAAGGGGTAGTTATATAATAATTTTAGATGATCTTGAACGGTCAGATACTTATGACTGCTATTGTAATATTTTAACAATCTCTTAATAATTTTTAATAGAAAACAAGATAACTAAATTAATACAAAAAAACATGTAATCTTAATATAGAATAAGAAAACTAAATAAAACTTTAGCTTCAAATAGATAACTAAATACTATAAAGTAATAAAAAGTGATAACTAAGTAATATTTACAAATAATTAAGTAGCAATCTATAGTTAACTAGGTAGCAATCCCTATTTAGATTATTATCTAATTATATAATCTAGTTTAAATAGTATATTACTATTTTTATTTCAAACTTCAAACAATATTAATTTCTATATTTATCTATTTAGTATTATTTTTACTTGAATTTATTTCATTATTGAAACCTTTTGTTTGCATTTATTATTTTTAAATGATGATTAAATAGTGTAAAATAATAAATAAATAAATATTATATATATAAATAAAAGTTTAATCAAAATATTTTAGATAAAGTTTACTAAAAGAAAAATCTTCAAAATTTTGTGACTTTGCTTGTATTATTATAATATTTACATCTGGCTATATATTAATAATATTAAAAATTATAAGTATAAATCTCTATAAGATCAATTATTACTTCTTTAGGTAAAGCTGATCAGATATAAGCTCAATAGGAAATTTATTTGAAGTTTCTATTGTAATTGGTTTTGGAAGCATAGGAACAGGTTTCTATCTTGTTTTTATATTTGAATCACATTTTGATTCAATTTTTTTTATTTAAAAATTTTTGATCCGTTTATTTGATCTGATCTTCAAATGATTTTTATTGGCTATTGGAGAATTAAACGGGACTAGTGATATAATCATTTCCCAACGCGTTGTTTAATTTTATCCAATAGGCTTAATCAGATCTTTTGTACAACTCGAAATCGGATAAATGAAAGTTGATATCACACATTTATTTTAATATACAGTACCAATGGAAATTGCTACCTTACTATTATTATATTATCATAGGATGGAACTACAATACATAAGTTCAAATTTTCTCATTTTTAGATCAAAGTTTCTTTAATTATTTCTCTCTCACGGTTCATCACAAGTTTCAAATGACTTCCATAAATTCCTTTATCTCCTTTAGAAAAGAAATTTTCCTTACTTAACCTTTCCAAATATAATTCATAAGCCGGCATAAATTTATTCACAAAATCTTTAACTTGTTCATCACTCATTCCACTTTTTCCTCGTTGTTTCATAGAATGCTCTTGTTCTAAACGCCATTGATAAACATAATTGATATTTTCCGCTTCAACATGAATAAAAATATCAAGGAACGGATACCAATTCTCTTCATATCGCTTTAAATGTTCGTTAATAATTTTTATATGAGAAAATGAATGAGATTTTAATGTTTTTAAAGAAGACGATGCACGATCATATGCTTCTTGGAGTTCAGAAGAAGGTAAATGTTTAAATCCTAAAGACCATCCATCAAACAAAATGATATCAAAAGGTGGTGAAACTCTAATCCACTCTTCAATAGGTGCTCGATCTCCTCTTCCATTTCGTAAGGATTTATCGTAAAACGGTATCAAGATGCTCACATTATTTGACTTTACATTATCTCTCTCCCTTAACCTTTCGTGTAATCGTTCGGAATATTTTTGTTGAACATCACGTAATTCTTGTAAGATCTGCCTTCCAAGCAAGACATCATGAGTTCCCGGTGCACCTCTAAACTCCAACAATTGATTCCCAGGGTTCTGGTTTGCCAATTGACATTGATCTTCATACGTTAAATATAAGTCATCCATGGAAAAGTTTACCACTGATAAATTTTTCGCACTCTTCAAGTATTGTACAATTTGTTTTACAATCGTTGTTTTACCTATGATATCGGTTTATGAAAATTAATTGATGTGGTTGGTTAATCATGTTGAAAATTAATTTATAAAATTTTTTTTTTTACCACATCCTTGCGCTCCGCTAAGTCCAACTACTAATGGATCGTTGGTATTATTTGATTCCTTCCTTAATTTATTGTAATGATTGACTATGAATTTTGATAGAATGTCAATTTTTTGTGATGATTGCGGATGTTGATGATGTAAATTATGTAAATTATTCATCTTGTAATTAAATCTAAAAAAAAAAAAATGCAGGGACATGATCGGAAATTTATTAAACCTTTGAATTAAAATAGTATCATTGTTCATGATTAATACCTTTGAAAAACCTTCATGGTAAATTTATGATTTTGTTTTTTAACAAAAATAAAATTCATCGTTGGAAAAAATAAAAAAAAAAATTTCATTCGCAAAAAGGAAAGTTGTACGTACGATCGATCATTCGATCGTTACACTAAATGGGTAAATCCTGAATAAAAATTTTGAGAATGAGAGAAACATCACAGGGAACGAAGGATTCTCTTGTACTGACCGGAATTATGTAAAATAATGATTATTTTATTGAATCGAATACAAAAAAAAGTAAAGTTAAAAAAAGAAAAAAGGAAGAAATTTTGAAAATGATGATCAAATCCGATCTAAATACGCATTTGAACTTATTTCAAATCATCGGACCACGTCGGAATAAATCTGTGGCGCAGCGTACGTTTAATGATGTTGATTCAACAAATTGCTAGTAAGCGGTCTTTTAATTTTGTTAATATTTGGAGGAGTACATTCCTTTTATATACATAATAAGCTATTGTAGAAACTCGATATGTAAGCTGACATGCTATGACGCACTCAATACTACTTACATCCGCATTAGCTATATAAATTGCTGAATTTTAATTCATAGTGACTAGATGTTAGTAAATACATCTTATTAACCTTATTTGACTAATATAAATGCAATTGGACTCAGTGGCTCGTGTAAGGTTTACTTGTCGAGGAAACACGTATTTAAATTCGAATCGATTAATAAGTTTCTTCGAGTTTGAAAACTTTTTCTTTTAACTTTCTATTATAATCAAACTTTTTTTTCTTCTAAAAAGAACATGGAAACCTTTTACGGTATGATCAAGGATAAATTTAGATATGATATTAAAAGTTAAACGGTATTTTATGTTTTTAAACTTACGCGTCAAAATAAAATAAAAAATCAACTCAGGAAAAGTCCCAAGCACGATGGATGCCTTGATTATCTTTGGTAAACAAAAAGAACCGATAAAAGTATCTTGCACTTTTTGAAAATAAAAAAATTAAATTTTCATTTATCATCGCATATCATAAAGAGGCGTGCCGTCAAGGAGTCTTGAACAGAACTACGCGTCGCATGGTAGAAGAAGAGAAAAAAGTTCTTTGTGCTGGGTCCATGTAAGTATAACGAATCCTTATCCCGAATTCTAATCCCTATTAAATACAACCATTTCAAACAGAAGATTACATCTTTAATTAATTTAATCTTTTTTTTTTTAAAAACAAAAAATGTTTAGATACGTGTACGATGAAAGGGAATCAGGAATCAAAAGATGGACCGATGGAAAGTAAGTAAATATCATTCATTCATTTTCTCAGGCTCAGAAAGATAATAATTATTTATGAAGTGTCAATTTTGTGTGTTCACATGTAATCTGCGTTGCAGATATTGGTCTCCTAGCAGAATCGTTGGCGATTTTCTTGTTTATCAAGAGCTCGAAAAAAGAATTCCTCATATAAAAAGTTACGACAAACTTGATGATAACCTCAAACAACGAATCAAAGATGAAAATTTAAAATTTCATATTTCAAACAAGGGTACTTTTATTCACCGTAAGGATGGTTTGAGTAAAAAAACCATCACAGTAAAATTGAACGAGGCTTTCCAACATATGGTTATTTATGAAGAAAAAGAGGGTATTTGTTCGAAATTAATTCTTTCCGTTTTTCCCTTTATTTGATGCGTTAAACGTGATTAATTTATTTTCCGACTATCGACTTTTTTTAATAAAAGGCAATAATAATCATCTTTACCCGCCTCGTGCTTATGTCGAACTGTTAAACATTGAACCAGGGGTAGATTTGACTCAAAATGAAGCGTTACGCAAGCAAAATTACGTCAGGCTTAACGAAGAATCCCCTGCTTCAAGGTTAAGAAAAGGAAAGGTTGTGGAACGTCAGAGACCCTCTTCAAATATCAACATTCCACCTAAAAGACCCGTCGCTCCGTTCCAACCTTTGCCGAGTATCGCGGAAGCTTTGTATTCTCCCGTGTCGACAATGCAAAGAACTAATGATTTTGAATTACCTGAATTGAATATAACAAGAATAATTAACCTATTGTCAGGTTCGCAAGAAAATGATTCGATGGTTAAATTGGAAAAGTCAGAGGATTCATCATGGTCGGTTCAATCAACGAATTGCATTGACAATGGCATCAATATTTGGCAGAACGGCGAATATCCATTTCCATCCCGCGCCTTTCCATCCCATACCTACAGAACCATGAGAGATACCGTTATTCCTGATACGGTCAAACCCCTCGCCGATCAAGATTCGGATTTCATGGATTTGGTGGATTACTCTCGTTTATAGAGATTAATTAAAAATCATGTTGTGAATGAATTTTACTTTATACAAAGGAGTATACGATGAAAAAGAATTCTTTTTTAGTCTCTTTTTTCATTCTTCTGTAGTTAACATATCTTGTATAATATTTCATGTATTTTTTAATCGATAGGTAATGTGATAATAACTTAGTGACAAAAAAAATTCTTACGCAGAAAATATTATCACATTATCCTTTATTTCATTTTTATTGCATGCACGTCTTACCAATCTGCATCTAATAAAAAGTAAATTTGCCCAAGTACAAATTTTAGTTTGATCGCTAGGCCGATCACGAATCTGATATTTCGTGTTTTTTTTTTTTTTTTCTTTTTTTTAATATAATTATAATAAACTTCACTCATTTGCGATCAAAGTAAAAAAAACTTTACGATCGCTGGTGTCCAAATAAATTCTTTGTTTTTTAATAATTTTTCCCAGTTAACGTCTTGATGCAAAACCCTTTACCATACGATAAGGAAGAAACTTTAGAAGAGGCTACTTCTATGAACATGGATAGGCTCACACAACTTCAAGATGCAATAGATGAGGTTCAGTTATTCAAAAGATAATTAATTCCTCTTTTTTTTTTCAGTTTAATATTATAACCTATGATTTATTCTTTAGTTGGCTAGAATGTTTGCTAATAGCGTAGAATATCTTAACCGAGGTAGCTTTAAAAGGCTCGAAAAGTTTTTCAAAACGCGTTGTTCTACCGATAATATATTAACCATTTGTATGTTATGATAATTTTTATTATAGCGCAGGTACATGTCGACCAGGATCCAGGGAAATTTAGAGGTAGGAATGAAATTATTTAGATACATATATATGTATGAGAATAAAATAAATAATTAATTTAATGTTATTTGTTCTATTTAGAAAGTCAACGTGAACTTGTTCAAGATATTGTCAAAAAATCAAAACAAATAGAATTATTGATAGAGAAATTACCAGGGATGCAAAATTCTGAACAAGAGCAAATAGATATGATTAAAGAATTAAATAAAGAAATGCACGAGGCCAATCTAGAATATCTAAAGGCTGTTGAAAATGCAGGTATGATACATATATATATATATTTATTAATTAAAACTATATTTTTAATATTCGTTGTTTAATCGATCTTAATTAAAATATTTAATTTAAACTTTAAAGAGTCTTTAAAAAAACAAATAATGGAAACTATAGGAATACTTTGTAGGGACCAAAGTACGGCGTATAATACAGAGGAATGAACGAGTTCCTCATTAATTGTTGATGTTCCTTGTCCTTTGACGTGTGTTAATCTTCTTTAACTAGCCAAATCAATATTATGCCTATAAATACAATGGCAAGTAACAACCAACAAGATAATTCCATTGTAAACTGCTGATCGACATTTTCAGTAGCGTCCATCAAGACAACAAGTAAGATGCCACATATTTGTACTACAGAATTTAGAATTCCTGTACTTGTGATCTCATCTTCTCCTAGACGACTGGAAGTAATTACTGGCACATATTGGAATAGTGCCGGAGTTATTGCTATATGATGGCTTTATTAGAATGTTTTTCAATCGTTGGATTTTTTTTTTTTTTTTTTTTTTTTTTAAGAAATTTATTTAATCTTATTGCTTACCAAATGAAGATATTCCAAAGAACATGCTATAATCGAGAAATGCTCATTATTAACGGTTTAGTTTGAAATAATTTTTTTAACATTTGAAATTAGTCATTATTTACCATGAAACTGTTAGTAAAGGCATACTTTTTATCTTCAAAGCTATAATGAAGGCAAATAGCGAAAGAAATGTGATCATATATAATGTACGACAAGATCGTTTGTATGCGAATGTGCGATCAAGATAAATTCCAATTAGAACAGATCCAACCATTCCAGCTACCACATTAAGGAATCCCAAGAATCCAATTTGAGACTAATAAACAAATGGTTAAATATTTTTTTTTTTTACATTTTTTTTTTTTTTTTTAAAATTTAAATTCTTTTTTATTTTTCCTATTACCTCATCATACACTCTGAAGACAGGAACTACAATTTGTGCTAATAAAGTGCTCACAGCAAATGATGCCCCAACGGTTAACCCATATGAAGTTGCAAGTAACATAAATACTTTATCTGTGCAGAAAGCATATATCGTCGAAAGTGTTGTCGTGGCTTTACGATTTGGTTTAATAAAGAAAATATCATTAGTCAAAATCGTGATCAAATATTAAATTTTGTCAAAATTTTTACCTTTGAGATAAATTAGATTCGGATGTAAAAGATGTAACACAGATCAAATATATAAGTGAACAGGCACCAAATTGTATTAATAAATATTTGGGGATATCGTCCTTTGCTGTGGCTTGTTTAATAAACCATGGCGATAATAAAAACCTAAAGGAATGATAATAAAAATGGTATAGAATTTAAAAAAATTCATTATTAATAGAACCTTTTCACTTACCTACCACCAAATTATAAATTATCCTTACCCAACAGCAATTCCAGCATTATTAGCTGTAACCCCAATTCCAGTTGCTAGATTCTGTTCCCCAAATTCAAACCAAGTGTTTGCTAATTTTGGGGGAACTCCCAAAATAAAAACTCCGGCAATGGCTGAAATTGTCTGACCCAAAAATAATAACCAAAACCCGGATGGTCCAAAAGAACCCATGAATCTTAAGAAAGTTCCAAAAGCATTTAAAAATGCACCGACGAGAATTCCCTGTCGTAAGCCCCATTTGTCATATATATTGAGGACAGGGACTAATAATATAGGATATATTATCATAAATACTGTAGCTAATGCGTTTATAGTTGACGGCGTTTGCTGATAATGTTCCATGAAAATGTAAAGACATGGTCCAAAAGTGATCCAAAGTACCGCATTGGAAAACGAAAGAAGTGAAAATGATGTTAAAACGAACCATTTTCGATTAGATAGATTCTTATGTACAGTCGTTTTTCGTTGCGTATGCGGTGTTATTAATGCAACTTCTTGGTCTTCCGATGCACTCGATTTTTCAACCATTATGTTAAGTTCATCGGAATTATCTTCAACTTGTTCATAATCATGCTTGCGACTTTCTTTAGCTTGTAAAGATGGATTAATGACATCTGAAACTGAAGTTGAAGCTGTCATTTCGAGTTTTTTTTTTGTTCATCCAACGTCCATACAATAGTTGTATTTATCATGATTTTCGCAGATCTGCAATGTGCATGTAACACGTGGAAATAAATATTCCTGTTTTAGTTTTTTTTTTAATTAGATCAACAAAAAATGGCAGAAACAATTCTTTCTAACGAGCCAAATCATGATACTTCAGAAACCTCAAAACCTACATCAAAACCTCAAACTTCTACTGAAAGTAAACGATCTTTGCGTAGAAATCGTCCCGGAACTAAACATGAAGTAAGCAAATAATATTATGAATAAAATTTTCCTTTTATAATAAATAGTAAACATTTATATACTTTGTTTTTTGTAGGATGCTTACCAATTTCCTTATATTTCACTAGAACAAATTGATTCTGCTTTTGCGTTACAAGAATATCTACAGTCATTGATAAGAGCTGACAAAGATAACCTGGATGCTCTAGTAGAATTACCTCCGGGACAAGATCAAGAGACTTGGCAATATGAGCATTTGAGGTAATTACTAGTATAGTGAAAGTCACATTTAGTCATTGATGAAACCAAAACTACCGAATCTCATTATTCTCATGGATTTATTAGCTATGAAATTGTATAAATCTAGTTTTTTTTAGTGTTTATACTCGATCAAATTATATTAATTTTGATCAATTAGGAAATTTAAATAGAACAACCAAAAGAAATCAAAACCTACTTCCTATAATTATGACTTTTTTATTTTAATTAATAATCATTTCAGAACATTTCATTTGATTTAGGCAATTATGTCTCGAACTTAATTATCTGGTAGTTCAACTGGAAGCTGAATGCACTCGTCAGTCTTGCCCCGAGATGAAAGCTGATGAATGGCAATACCTTTGCGCTGCACACCAAGCTCCAACGAATGTGAGTTATTATATGTATATATTAGCTATTATTTTTGATTCTAACATTTTTAATTAACGTCTAGTGTTGTGCGATTGATTATATTGTACATACGTTAGATGGAGCAACGACTTTATTAAACAGTCACAAATATTTTCCGAGCAGGTAGATTCTTTTCAAAAATTAAATTAATTTATACATAATAGTTTTTAATTGATTTTTGATTTGTTATTGTAGGATATCCATTCCTGAGACATCACTGAAACATTACCAGTCTATCGCAAGACGACTTTACCGAATATTCGCACATGCATGGTTTCATCATCGAGAAATATTCGAAGCTTTCGAGGTAAGCAAAAATTTATACCTTTATTTTTTTTTAAAGATTCTATTATAATATATATATTATTTATGTATATTTGTTTTTGCCAGAATGAGAATATGTTATATGCGCGTTTCTTGAAGCTTTCCGATCGTTATGAATTAATCGCAAAAAACCTTTTGATTATCCCATATAACAATAACTTTGATGACAGCAGTAACAATGACAATCATATTAACCACAATAATAATTGTGACGATGTCTTGACACCATCCATGGAATAAAATTTTATAAATATTATGTGTTCTAATTTGTTATTCTCAAAAGTTTATTAGTCGTCGTATGTCGTATATTCCAATTATTTTGAATGTAATTTAAAGATAATATAATAAATCTAAATAGTTTGCTTGATGGTCATTTAATCAATATAGTTATAAATCACATGATCAACTAGATTACATGTGATTAATTTTACGTAAGTTCATGTCATTAATTAACTTGCCCTTATTTGTAACCGAAAATTAAAAAAAAAATCCCTCTTTTAACTTTCAATTTTTTACCATGCCGGTAAGACGGTCGTAAGACGGTCGGTCTTATAATGAGTATTTCTAACAAACCTGAATAAAAATAAATTAATTTTAATAAATTATATTACATAGGCATATCATTCTCAATTCAATGATAGGACCGAATTTCGAACAGTAGGTAACATGGTGTTGTTGCCTATAAAGACAAAATTAAGAGGTCCACCATCCTTAGGTAACGAAAGAGATCTTTATATTATTGTTATGATCCATTTCTAAATTGTTTATTTATATATTTTGTAATGGGAATGATTTTATAGCACCCGCTCCCCCAGCAGAGGATGATGTCATTGATGAAGCATTAGACCTTTTTAGAGCCAATTGTTTATTTCGAAACTTTGAGATAAAAGGCAGTGCGGATAGAGTTTTGATTTATTTGATCTTATTTATTAGTGATTGTTTGTCTTGTTTGAGTAAAGCAGGAAAAAATACATCACAAAAAGAAGCTGTAAAGATATTGAATAGTCGTGCTTTAGATCAATTTGCCCTTCCTGGAGATCCAACTTTTCCATTGAATGCTTTATATACTTCACCTGGTAGCGATGCAGGTTCGATTATCTAATTTTTTTTTTTTTTTTTTTGAATTCAATTTTTAATTTATAATACTTTAATTAATCTTTAATATTTATTTATTTATTTTTCTTTTAATTAGAACATTTACGACAATATTTATCACTAGCTCGTCAGGAATTGGCAAATCGATTGGTTGAGAGAGTTTATGTTGATGGGAAACAAAGTAAATGGTGGATGTGCTTTCAAAAGAAAAAATTCATGAATAAATCATTGTAATAACATTAAATAATTTTAATAAATTTAATTAATATTTTAAATTAATTTTTTTACATTCTTCTTCCAATTCTGAAACATTTACAACTTCAATCCCATTCGCTTGTAAGATAGAAATTCCTTCACATTTTACGAATTTGTCAGGTTCTTTAATACCCATTACAACCTTTTTAATTCCTGCTTCTATGATACGTTCAACGCAAGGTTTATTACCAGATAACCTTTTACTACAAGGTTCCATAGTAGTATACATTATGGCACCATTCGCTTCCTTTATGTCTGATAATTTTTTCAACGCACATTCTTCTGCATGCGTATTTCCTTCTAATTCACGAGAATATCCGGTAGAAAGAAGTCGAGAGTTTTTAACTAATGCCTATTAAATTAAAGTTTATGATTATTTTTTCAAATTCAAAGGCATCATTTTTTTGATCGTTTTACTTCTCAAATATATTGGATCGGATAAAAACAACGATAACAATTTGCAAATTCAATTTTAATACGTACAGCTCCTACACAATATGCTGTTTCAATTGGTACTGAAAGATTTGCTTGTTCAATTGCAATCTTCATGAAATGCAAATCATCTTTTAACAGAAAAAAAAGAGATTTTTTTTTAAAAAAAGATAATATGGACATCATTTTAAGAGAAGGAGGGAAAAATAACCTTCATTCGTCATGTCGAATTTTTTCTTGGAGAAAAAAATTTTGAGATGATTGTTATTAACATTTATATGAAATTGAAATTGTTTACTACATCAAAAATTTATGTTTGTAATCTAAACCTTAACCTTTGGGTTCAATTATTATAATGATTCTGGTATAAAAACCTTTAACGAGATTCTTAAATAAATATTAGATTTTTAAAACTTTGTATTTATATATTGTATTTATACATAAATAAATATAATACATTTAAATATGTGAGACTCTCCTCTTCTTAACTGTTCGGATGTAACACGAATTAGTTTACAGAGTATATTGTCTCATGGTTTTGACTTTTTTGAACTCAAAAATGATTTTTTCATTTCGACGCTTGCCACTCAGAATTCTAGCTAACTTTAAAATACAAAAGCGCCTTTCCTCTTTAAATGGGTCTTATATGAAAGACAAAAACGATATTGCTGTCAAAAATCTACTAACTTATTAGACTTTCCGATGATAAAGCAAATACATGCTGAACATAAACATATATGAAGAAACTATATGAAGAGTTTGAAGAGAAAATACAAAGATTAGATACAAAGAATGAAGAGATGATACAAAATTATTAAAAACAAGAGACAAATATTAGAAACAAAGAATGATAAGCATAAAGAAGAATTAGAAACAAAGAATGAAGAGACGAGACAAATATTAAAAGTGTATAAAAAGCATAGAGAAGAGATAATTAAATTAGTAGTGAAATAAAAGGATGATGAAGCTGAATTAGTTTCGCGTATAGCAAGACTGTTTAAACTTCTAAAAATCACTGCAAGGGGGCCATCCCTGTTAAAAGGTCATTGGATTGAACAAGAGTCATGGGTTACAGGTGGATTCTAGCTGAAACGCCGTGGCATATATATCCGTCAAACTTTTTTTACATTTTATTTATTATATTTTTCTTCAATAGATTATTTACAAGAAAGCTATAGATCCTCTCGATATACATGAACCTATTGATACTTTGTTAGAAGCGACGTTAAATGAAGATGCAGATTTTAAAGAATGTTTGAAGAAGACGTGTAAGGTGAATAATGTGACGACAGATGCTGTGTAGAAATGTATTGGTGGTCTGTATCATACGTCATCAAAAGGATTTCATGGTTACGACAAAATTGCGATTCGTGCAAAGATTGGGAGGTAAATGAGATAATTGCCTTGGGTCTCATTCAAATATTATCATATTCCTTTCTTTTATTGGGATGAGCCAAATTGAGAGGCGAAATTTCCACGCGAGTTAGCAGTTTAATCATGTGATCCAACCTACTTTTAGTTATAGTTTTTCTAAAATTTTTGCATTATTTCAACAAATGATTTATAATTAACTATAGCAAACTAAGTATTTAATGTGAGAAATTTTCTCCTGATATGTAAATAATATTTTACTAACATTTTTTCTGGTTGATAGAATCTAGTTTATATTGCAATCAGTTAAAGTTTAAGTTAAAGGAAGGATGATTTTAGATAAACAAAAAATATAGATATTAATATATCAACTAACTTATTTATTAGAATTTTTTCTTTATTATATTCTTCATAATTAAATAACTTATCTTAAAATTTCTCATGATCAAACAGTTACCATTTTTAATATATGATTCAAAAAATTGGTAAAAAGGTAAAATAACAAGCATCTGATAATCAGTTACAATATGTACACTAAATTAAATTTATGTTGACTAAGTCTTAAGTATAAATATTATTTGTTACAATTTATTTTTGATAGTAATTGTATTACCTGTATTTCATATATTTTCTATTTTTGTATTGCTATAAATCAATACTATTAGGCTATTAATGCTAGATTAATAAATGCTTTTAATACTTACATTTGTATGAGAAAAATTTAATACTTTTTGACTTTAGAATTTGTTCAAGCAAATTCAAAAATAGACTCAAAACATTTTAGCTTCCGTTTTACATTTGAGGCCTTTGCAATAGAAAGGGAGGAAACTCAAAAAAAAATAAAAAATGAGTTAATAATAAATCTGAACAAATTATAGTATTTAGAACATTTTTGGCTTATAAACTAAAATTTTAATTTTTTTGGAGTTTCCTTCCTTTCTATTGCAAAGATCCCATTTGCTAATAATGAATTTAATTTATGATATTTCTCAATTACTATATATATTAATCTATTAATAAAAACTAAATAATAATAATCTAAATATAACAGTATAAGCATTTGACCATTTGATCAGCCAAAAAAATTTTTTTATACAATAGCTTACAAATGAAATAGAAATATAATTGGTTAATTGCAAAAAAAAATTTAACACCTTCAATGTTTAGAACATTAAAAATTGCAAAAAATTGAACTATCTAAGGCATCAATACTTTGTTATTTTGCAAGAAATTTGAATATTCTGAATGTTGTAAATATTAATTTTTTTTTACAATTTTGCAATAAATTCAATAAATTGCAATTTGCAAATAAACTGTAACCAAAATTAGCAAAATCATGTAACATTTAACCAATTTGATCAATTGGTGATTTAGCTGCTTTGATTTCAGCTGATCAGCTAATTAGCTAATTGCTAAAAAATTAGGCTTGTTTACAGCCAAATGTCAACTATGCAGTATAAGTATGCGTTATATTTAAAATTTAACTAATATTGCACACCTATTTGATAACTTAACAAACATGAAGTTAAAAAAAACTTTGCAAGTTTGCTCATCAATATAAAAAGGATCATCCTGAAATTGATATTGATACTGATGTAGATAAAGTATAATTAGCATTTGATCGCAGCTAAGCTTAATTTTTTGGTCATTTACCAATTTAACTAATCAGTTAAAATCAAAGCAGTCAAATTACCAATTGATCAATCAGTTTAATATTATATAACTTTGCTAATTGTGATTGCAATTTATTTGCAAATTGCAATTTATTGCAATATTGCAAAAAATTGATGTTTACAACGTTCAAGATGTTTAAATTTTTTGCAAAATAGTAAAAATTAATACCTTTAACAGTTCAATTTTTTGAAAAATTGCAAAAATTGACCTCTTTAATGTTCAAGACGTTAAAATTCTTGCAAAATAGAATGTTTTAAACATCAGAAGTGTTAATTTTTCAATTTTTAATGTCTCAAACATCAGACTTCAAATTTTTTTGCAATTAACTAATTATATTTCTGTTTTATTTGTAAACTATTATATAAAAAAAAATTTTTTGGCTAGTTCTTGCAAGATATCTATATATAATTTTTTATAAAGTTACTTATTTCTTATATATTATAATATTAAAATTTTAAAATTAATAATTAGGATTAAGTACTATAATTTATATATATAGTAAATCAAATACCTTATCATATATGAAAATGATGATAATATCATTTGACCATAATAATTCTATAATTCATTAACTGAATTTTTAAAGTTGTATTCAAAGATAAAAATGAATATTTCTAAATTAAAGATAAGATCATTTTAACTTATAACTAAAACAATTATTTAGAAAAAGTAATACATGCTGATTTGATACTTTAAACTAATTTGATAGTTAAATTTTTAAATTTACTTTTAGAAGAGTAATATATTATTCAGATTTTAGTATTATAATAATATATCATAAATATTATATGAATTTTTATATTAAGAATTGCTATAATAAAAAGGGCAATATATTAATTATGAGATTTAAGAAAATCACAATTTATTATTTGTCATTAATTTTTACCGATCATTACCAAAAAAATATATTTTAAAAAAATGAATTTTATAACTTTGAATTTTTTTTTGTAAATAATAAGTGACTTTCTTTAAATTTATTTATTTTTAAAATTTATATATTTTATAAACTATATAGTCTTAATAAAATTTATAAAATATTTAATAAAAAGTGAACAATTATTTTATTTCAAAAATTCTTATTTTTTTTTGAAATTCAATGATAAAAACAATAATAATATTTAATAATAATATCAGCAACAAAAGAATAAGCAAAAAGTAGGCTTATTTTATTTATAAAATTTGTAAAAATTTTAAATTGTTTACAATATTCTAATTTAACTTTTTTTAATTCATTTGATTTAAAACAAGTAATATTACGAAATAGTAAATTAATATAGGATACGATTTCTTTATATAATTTCTCTTACCTTTTCAAAAAAAGTATATTAACACTAATTATAAAAGGTAAAATATCAGAAATAAAAGAAAAATTACAAATAATAGTGTCTTTATAGTCGTCTTCAAATCTATCTTTATAAAAAACAATTCTGTGACATTTTGAGATAAAATAAAAGTGATGATATTTTGAATATTAGGCAATTTTTGAAATTTTTAAAGTAATATTTAAAATTATAATATTGAAATCCTTCTTATTCAAAAAGCATTAAGAAACATTAAGATAAACAAGAGTAGAATGATTAATAATTAAAATTATATATTATTTAGAGTATTCACTTTACTTTTCTGATAAAAAATTTTAATCTAATCAAAATAGCTATTACAGATAAATTTTGTATATTTAGGCAGTGATATTCATTTTTGATATTTCAGAGATTTGTTGTTCTAGCTATATATTCTAGCTATATATTTCAACCTATTTTACACTATATTCTAAATATTCTATCTTTCCCATATATATTCTATAAGTATTCTATAAATATTCTATTAATGTCCCATAATAACACTTTATTAAGGTATTATGAAATTTAACTTAATCTCATCATATAAACTCTGATCAATCAACTATAAATAAAAAAATAAAAAATAATTGTTTTTATTTTATCTTATACAATTACTACATGTAATAATCAATTTTTTATTTACAATTATACTTTTGAATTGTATTATAAATTAAGCTAAATATATAATTTATACCTTTTTCTTGTTTATCATTATCAGGCATTTTACATTCATTAATTACATAATTAGTCTGTTCTGTATGTAAAAAGTTACTAGTATTGCAAACTCTGAACAAATGTATCTTTCTTGAATTTTTAAAAAATAAAGATCCTATTATTGT